GGCTTTATGGTAGAGATAAACCAAAATGTTGCAGTGAATCCTTTGGAATGGAAAAATGGGAAAACCTCCATTCTTTGGGCCTTCCTTTGTTATGTTTTGAGGAGCCACACCTGCTTTCCTCAGGCCGTACTCTTGGCTCTGAGCTCATCCAAACCTGCAAGCAAAAAGATTTTTTGGTTCACCTGTCAAGAGAAATACCTCACTGGCAGACCTCCACTACCTCCACTACCCAGCCACTGCCATGTTCCAGGATGCTTTCCGGACTGCGTGGCCACAAAGTGGCCACACGACACATCATAAGACACTTAATACCCATCTTCCAGGATTGCCACACCATATTTGATAGGGTTCAAATATGGTTTGAACCATGGGAATACCTACAAGGACAATTAGAGGCCGCCCCAAAAGTTTCTATCTCTCTCGGAGAGCCTGGCAATTTACCGAGAGTATCCTACCCACGCAGCAGAGCCTGGCATGCTATCCATGGTGTATTCAATATGCCAACACCAGTAAATACAATGGGTCTCATTCCCCTGACCCTGAAGGAGCCACCAATAATTTTGGATGATAAATGAAGTGATAGCTCTACCAAATATCTATTAGAAATCAATTGATGGAGGCAACTTTAAAGCATTCCTGAGGAGATTGGTGACAAGGATTAAGGAAAAGGGCAGATATGAACAGAACTGGGACAAAGCAGAGATATGAAAGTTTATTAGTTCGGAGTTGGCATTAGGCTCCCTGCCCCTTGGTTTTTTTTCTTCTTTTTATGTTAGTGTGATGACCACAGTTCACACATACTTGGTTGGAGTGCTTATACAGTCAAAACCATTTTTCTAAATTGAGATTCTGTGGTTTACAGTGCTATTAATGTGAAGGGTAGCCTCAGAAGACATCTGAGGCTGTCACTTCCTTTCCAGTTAGGCAGCTGGGCATTATTCCAGGGCAGACTGTCATCTCCCACAGGTTCTGAACTGAAAATTCCCGTGGGGACACTGAGAGACACTGTACCTGAATAATGGCCCTGGCGGCCTCCAAAGCTTGCCCTTGCACAGATCAGTAGACAGAGCCAGCCAAGAACGTGATATCAAGTTTCCAATTCACTTTTAACCCACTTATGATCCCCAAAATGGTAACAACCAGAATCTGTCTTTGAAGGTAAGGTAAAGGCCCTCCCGTTGATCGTTGATTTGCTCGAGCGGGCCCAGTAACATCTCCATTGGAGACTTTGTTGTTAATGTGTTTGGCATATCGAATACTCTCGGTAGCTTGCCGGGCTCTCCGAGAGGGGCGGAGGAATCGAACTCGGGTCGGCCATGTTGGCCGCTTGTAAGGCGAACGCCCTACCCGCTGTGCTATTGCTATCTTTGAAAAGCATCAATAAAATTTTAATGAGTATTGCATTACTTCTAAATAATACTTTGGGTAGGATGATCATTTTGACAGTGTTGATTCTTCCAATCCATGAACATGGAATGTCTTTCCATTTCCTAGTTTCTTCTATTTCTCTTAGCAGTGATTTATAATTTTTACTGCAATAAGTCTTTTACAGTCTTTGTGACTCCATATGGAGTCACGATTCCTAGATATCTGATGTTTTGCAACACTTTTTGAAAGGGATAACCTTTTAAAATTTTTATTCTAGTTCATTGTGTGCATATACACATATTTTAGCATATTAATTTTGTAAGCTGCTACCTCACTGTATTGGTACAAACAGAAGGACACTGGAGTCCTGTGGGGAAGGAGATGGGTCTATTGGTGATGGCTTTGGAAATTATGAGCATGGGAAACCATTATTAACAGTATTGTAAATCACAGAACCTCAATCAACAAAAAAAGTAAAAAAAGTTAAAAAAAAAGCAGAATCTGTGTATGAATCTGCCTCTATCAGGCTCAATGTTTATACCTTTAGCTCTTTTTGACTATATTTTATGCTTAGATTTTTTCCAAAAGTATAAAATTATGACTATAGTTTTGTAAGACATATGTTTCAAATTGCATGACAACCCTTTGATTTTCAACAACAATGCGTTTTTGTCTTACCCTGTGAACATTTCTCAATCTAGTTAAACCTGAATGGTGCAACGCTTGGCACCCACAAAGCTCACCATACTTCCTGCAACATCACCTTGACCAAAAGAGCAATTCCAAAAATTTATTTACTAGAAAACTATATTGTGCATAGGCATTGCATGAGAAAACTATGAGGTTTGTGATCAAAGTTATTTTATTGAAATGCAGATATTAAAGTATTAGCATAACTCTTTACTACAGGACTTCTTAAAGTTACTAAATATTCAAACGAGCATGTGAATTCCTGAAAAGTAGATTGAATATTGAGAGGTATCTCCCTCATTGATGAGAGTGCCAGGCTGGAGCGATAGCACAGTGGGTAGGGCGTTTGCCTTGCACATGGCTGACCTGGGTTCGATTCTTCTGACCCTCTTGGAGAGCCTGGCAAGCTACCTAGAGTATCCTGCCCGCATGGCAGAGCCTGGCAAGCTACTCATGACATATTCGATATGCCAAAAAAAGTAACAACAAGTCTTACAATGGAGACGTTCCTGGTGCCCGCTTGAGCAAATCGATGAACAATGGGAGGACAGTGCTACAGGACAGTGACAGATGAGAGTGCCCTTTTAATATTTTGGTAGAAAATTTGGAAGAATGAGTATTTAAGGATCACACTTTGGAAAAAATTTTTTCTTGTTAGCTTACTAAGAATATAGCTGACAAGAGTAGAGCTGAACAAAGTAACAGTTGGGGTATCAAACTCTGTAGAATAAAAAATCTGCAAGAAATTTTCAACTCCCTAAAACATAATTACATTTGTCTCTTGGTATTCATATGGAGTCTAGTTTCAGGATACTGAAGAAATACAAAATTTGAGAATGAGTAAGCCCTCAGAGTGATCCCACCATAGTCACAGTTTCTATATCTGCAGTTGACTGGGAGCATGAATGCAGAATCAGGTAATAGTCAACTATGTATATTGAAAAAAATCTAGATGTGAGCTTCGTAGATCCAAACCCATGTTGCTAAGGGTAAAATACATATCCTAACAATGTACAACTAATTCATGTAAAGTACCAACTGTATTAACATCACAGGAGTTTTCCTTTTATTTCAACTTCTATAAGTTTAAACCATGCTTCCTTTTTTTTTTTTTTTGGGTCACACCTGGCGATGCACAGGGGTTACTCCTGGCTTTGCACTCAGGAATCACTCCTGGAAGTGCTCAGGGGACCATATGGGATGCTGGGAATTGAACCTGGGTCAGGCGCGTGCAAGGCCAACGCCCTACCCGCTATACTATCGCTCCAGCCCCCTTCCTTATCATGGAAAATATGGACATATTAAATTGTTTTCAGTTTTTAGAATTCCATGAATTATGCTGTATGAAACATGTAGGTACTATTTGGTCAATTATATATACTTGTGAAATAAACATTTGCATTATTTTCACTTTGTGTCATTGTCTACACTTGTTGAAGAAAGTTTCAAGTTTCCAGTAATGAAAAATTAAAATCAAGAACTAAGTACTTAATAAAAGAAGTGTTTGTTTTAAAAATCAGTTCTGGTCTAGGTGTTCAGTTATTTGTGCACTGAAGTAAAAACAAAAATAAAACACCCATGCTAGACAGAGATAGCAACTTCTCTTTTTCATCAAATGAGATTCCTATTGGAGTCCAAAGCAAATTGTATAAAAGCACAGGAGACATGCATCGTTGTTACGGTAGGACTTATGTGATTAGAAGGAAGCATTAGAATGTACACTCCTTTTTTTAAATCGCTTCAGCCCCGATTTTAATAAACTTTTATTTATTTATTTTTATTAGTGAGACATCAGAATGTACATTCCTTGAGTGCCTTTTCAAGATCATCCTTCCCCAAAGGTCATGAAATCACAGCTAGAAGCCACCTGGCGGTTTACACCTCAGTGCTGATCTGACTAACCTCACGTGCAGCCACCAAGCAGCTGGTGACTGCCCAGGGAGCAAGCTTGGAAAACATCTGCCATCAGTCCTCGTACGAGAAAGTACCAGGCTGCGAGCCATAAAATTAAACATTAAAAAGAATTTCTTTTCAGCCAGAAATAATTACAATGATAAAGCTTTCATAATAGCATTGATTAAAGCACAGGATCCTTATCCATTTTGCCTTCCCCAATTTTCCTTTTTATTATTGCTCCTGACTATATGCTGGCAGGTGAGGGCATGCCACTTAAAAAGGCACAGTCAAAGCTACCGGGACAAAACAAAGCCATACCAGTTTTTGTTAGTGAATCTTCTAAAAATTTTACTATAAAATAAGGAAATAAGTTTCCAAATCCAAAAAGTACAGAGCTCCCTTGAAAGCACATGGAAAACTGCAGCAGGGTATTTCTGATTAGTCTGTGTCACTGTGCCAGGCTCCAAACAAGCGGGTATTCTGCTGTGACATCTGCCCAGCAAAGCATCCATTGTTCTCTGGAATTTAATTCATTTTAAATTACTCCATCCAAATGATAAAACATGAGATGTGCTACACTCCAGGAGTAAAATGCTATGATTGTTTTTAATGTGACTATAACTGTTAGCTGAGAAGCCTATTATAATTAGGCCCTGATCATTGTCTTCTGAAAAACAGCTAGTTCAAGAATGTGAGATCCTGAGATTCTGTTAACTGGAAGGTTTGCCATCACTAATCTTGATGACTCTCATGTGACTGCGAAGTTTGCAGTGTTGCATGCAAGCTCTCCAGCATAGCAGAGCACCAATCTTCAGAAGAGAAACAATTTCAAAACTGAAAGCTACTTGGGACACTGCCTTACTGTATATTTATATTACTCTTTAAATATGTTATGTTTAATATGTGTGCCACAGAGTCAACAAATTATATCACCACTGTGCAATTGTCCTCAAACCAAAAATATTAAAAACTTCCTGCTGAAGGGAGCTCGTGAAAGTTCCTAAGGTCTGTATGTGGTGGTGGTGGTGCAGGGGGCACTACTTAGAAACAGTAATAGCCAGGCACTCATTAAGAAAGAAGATGACTCTCAGGAGAAAATATGCACACAGACAATAAAAACGGTATCTCCTCTATGCCTCGTTTTTAATAGAAATCTTTGAAATAAATTCAGATAAAATCAGAATGAAGTTCTCAAAAGGTGAAGGATTAATTTAATCATTAATATTCCCTATTGCCCCAAATATCAGTATGTTTATTTCTATGCAAAACTCTGCCACCAAACTGCTTAAATGATATGATACACAAGCCAGTTTTCAAATAATAAGGCCAGTCATCTTGTAGTGAAAAAATTAGGTGCAAGATATGACCACAAACAGATATACACACGTAGACACACATACACACAAAGACACACATACACACAGACAGACCCACACACACACACACACACACACACACACACACACACCAACAACCAAATTTGGCTTCTCCTAAAACATTTACATGAAAACCAAATGCAGTCAGGAGGGAATACAGTGTCACCCCTCCCTACAATCTTCGTAGTTCCCTTTAATCCAGTAGCAAATCTGGGCATATTTGAGAGGGGTGATTCGAACCGCCACATTAAAATCCTGGGGAGAACCATTCATGTCTACCCACTGGTGCCCTGAAAAGATGCCAATAATTTTGCGTTCCCACTTTTGCTGCTGTCTCTTCCACATCCTCACATACACCCCTGAGCCACTGGCCCCAGGCTGGGCATCACACTGCTGGTACAGCAGGTCATATGTCTCTTCTTTGACATCACAGAAGCGATACACCAAATCGCCTGGACGGTCGTTGTCATAGCCAGAGAAATGGATCCTGCCCCCTGGGAGCTGCTTGGCAGGGGGACTCACCCCGATCTTCATGAACTTTCTCTTGTGGGGCTTCTTGAGTTCCAGGAGGGCATAGTCATAATCCATGCCGATGTCATTGGCATTGCCCTTGATCCAGCCCTTGGGCACATGCGTGCGTTTTACCCGGATCCATTGGAACCTCATCTTGTCGGGCACAGCTGAGCTGGAACTGTTGGTGCCCTGAGCACCGTCTTTAAATTTGGGCTTCAGAAAGCCCACTCGGAGTTTCTGGGTGCCCTTCACGTAGGTTTTCCCATCGTGGATGCAATGAGCAGCAGTGAGGACGTGCTTCTCTGCCACCAGTGTGCCGGTACAGCCAGTGGACAACTTCACTGAGGTTGAGAAAGGGTAGTTAAGCAGGAAATCTTTCCCAAAAATGCTAAACCTGCCATCATAGCCATAAATTTGCCTCTTCCTCCGTGATTTCCCAGCCGACTCGCCCCGCTCGCTGTTAAGGATGTAAATGCCCACTTGTGTCTCCGTGCGGCTGCCATTGGCATAGAGGGTTTCATAAGCCAGGTACTGCTTGACCTCTTCGTAAGTAGGCAGTGGTGCTCCTTTGTGACACTGTGGTCCACAGGAGGAGGTCACCTCCAGCTTGGCTCTGGCCCCAAAGTCAGGCTTGGCTAAGCTGAGGGTGGACTGGGGCAAGACTACAGGGAGTCGGTAGGCTGGCCAGGTAGGCTTCCAGTGGGCACTGTAGGGGCTCACCTGCCCGACGGCGTAGAGGAGGAGGCAGAGGCAGAGGAGCCCTCGAATGCCTGCCATGCTGAGCATCTCTCTGGTGAAAGAAAAACAAGGAGATCAGAAGGGCAAGGGGTTGAGCATGCAGAACGGTTGAGAGGAATGTCTCACTGCTCCTGAGTCTCTGAACCCTTCACGCTGAGGAGAGGAATCAGAGCAACGGGCTCAAGCCCAGTGCAATTGACTGAGCATTCCTGTGGTCGGTCCCCCAGTGAGACTGGCTGCTCATTCCATCTAAGCTTGAAGTTCCTGTCCCTGACGGCTCAGAAGAAGAATGCAGAGGATCATTCATCCCTACACAAACTGCTTCATCACACCCAATTTACGTGCAAGCTTAAGCATACTTTGTGATTGATTTTAAACCTTTCTGATGTCTCTTGGGCTCCCTGTCTTTCTGTTCTTTCCCTCACTCTCATTATAGTATTACTTGGAAAATGGCAAAGAGCTGTGTAGAGAGTAGATTTAAACTGAGCTGTTTACAGAGCCTCAAAGGCACCTAGGCCAGATAGTTCATAGGGTCACGCTCAATGGGAATCCAATGGCCATGAAAATTTTGACATGGAGACTCCATTCACAAGAATATATGAGATTTAAATTTTTTCCTTTCCTTTTAATCTAAGAAAAACTTTTCTTTATTAAAAAAAAATGTAGTGCTGAGAATTGAACCCAGGGCCTCACACTTGCAAAGCAAATGCTCCCCTGCTGAGTCCCACCCTTGAACAACATGAGAGGTTCAGTTTCAGGATATCAAGACCTCTAAGGTGCAATGTATTTCTACTTTCTTTGGATTTTATTTTACTCTACCAGGATCTTTGTTAAAGACAAAACACTTCAACGCTGCATTGAGATGTTCACATTGTAATCCGGTCAGCTCCTTACCAAGCTGTTCTCAGCTGGTCTAGATGCACTGAATCTAGGCCTGTGCTAGCATACAGTAATAAACGAATGTTTTCTCCAAAAGAAGAGTAAGTAAATGAACCAAAAGTGTGGCCCTAAAGTATTTCGTTTGAATGGCATAGGTTGAGTGCTGTTGACAGAGATATGCGTGGATCATGTGGCTGCTCTGAGGAAAGGCAGGAAAACTCTCTTGTGGAAATAAAGGGGAAATAAAGGTATGAAGTGTTTATTTTTAACTTTTTATTGTAGTGTAGACAACATGATTACAGCAGTGTGAATGTTTATAAATTTGATATGCACATTCACCACACCTGAGACCTACCACTCGTCCTTATGATGTCAATTGTACCCTACTTTTTTCTCCCTACTTCCCCTCCCCCATCTGCTTATTTTACAATTATAGGCCAAGGGTTTGTCAACATTCTCTTGTTTTGTTTCTTTATATATCACAGGTGAGTGAGATAATCTGGTATGTGCCCTTGAGATGGGTTTTGGTTCTAGGGACACACCCAGCAGTGCTCAGGTCTTACTCTTGGCTCTGTGCTCAAGGATTACTTCTGGTGGGGCTTGGAGGACCATATGTGGTACCAAGGACTGACTTGGAGCTAGCTGTGCGCAAGACAAGTGTCTTAACCACTGTGCTATCTCTCTCACCCTGTGAGAAGGTTCTGAAATTGAACTGAAGTTTAGCTAACAGACTGGAGAGGAAATGGTCACACAGTGAGGAGACATGGGCTCGTAACAGTGGACAGCACTTCGGAAACTCTGCTTATTTCTGCAAGAACAAGATAGATAAAGAGGTGGCAATAGCCGGTAAGAGCTGGACTATGATGAAAGGTGGTATAGATTTGATGAAGGAGTTTGGATTTCACTCTGCAAGATTTGTCTAACAATCTGGTTCGATCAGTTCAGTTAGTTGTCTCTGCCTGGCTCAGAATTTTCTGTTCAAGAGAAGCTGAGTTGCTCATCAAGTAGGACAGAAGGACAGAGAAGGTCAACGTCACAAGGCTGGCAGAACACTCAGACTCAGGAGGAAGGAGTTCTTTACTCCCTCTTTCTTTCTACAAGTACACAGGCAGTTCTGGGTGCCTTTTGCTTCCTTTTACTGGGCAGTTCCATTAACATGAGTGAGTTAAGCTGGTCATGCCAGTCCAGATGCCCCAGATCATACTCTAACAGCCTTTCCCCTATATCTCTGGGGCCTTATGCTTCACTCTTTCTCTTTGATTCCATTTCTGCTGAAAACAGGGATGGGAAAAGAAATAAGTCCCTGAAAAATCCAATTGTCCAGGTCTTTCTGATATGTTGAAAGGATTTTTATTTCTCATATTTTCGAATCTGGGCCCATTGGTGGAGGAGTAAATACCTATAATTATTTTTCTAAATCCCTAAAAACCACAAGGTGTGTGCATGAGTGTGCAGACCTCTGGATATGCTTGTTGGGGCTACTGCTGTAACAAAGGTGTAAGGGAGGGGAAGCCAGCACCAGAACTCACATCCCCAATGGGGAATTAAAGAGTGAACAGGGGTCTTTGGAGGGCTAGTTCTGTACCTAATTATTCCAGTATCCCAGTTCCTGGGACACACACAGGACCTGGACAGCCTTTTCTCTGTAAGTTCTTGTATGGGTGATTACATGCATCCCATGCCAAGATCCTTGCCAAGTGTGCTCTATACTTGGAGGAACCAAGCATCTCCCACAGGGCTCTAGCTTAGGTCTTATAATTTATCTTCTAATTTTGACTAACATGGACAACAATAATGTCTGCTAACACTAAGCAACAGATGCATAAGCTAAACAGGATCTAGGAACTAAACTAATTTCCAAATACTGTTCTTGGGTGTGGGGAAAGTGAGAAGGAGAGACAGTGATAACAATATGTGCCATCTTCAGTTGTGGAAACAATTTTCAATGTGCTTAAACAACAGATACTTAAAATATGCTCATATCAATAGTAGGGCTTCTTAAACATCTATGACCCTTTTTTGAGACAAGAAACCAACTTGGGTAAGCGCTGCCTTAAACACTTTGGATTTATGATATGTTTGGGTTTGAATCTAAGTTCTGGGTGCTGCATGTTCAGAAATGTTTTGCTGTTGCCATTTATACCAGTTTTGCAACTTTCACATTCAGCTAGGAGACCCCCACATGGGGTTGTGAGCTACAGTTTAAGAGGTCAGGATCCTAAGCAGCGCTTTTCAGTCGAGACTAGGAGGCCAACCAGTAGGCATGGTAGCAGGCGGGATGGGCACAGGATGGAAGCAAGGCATGTGGGACTTTGCTGGACAAGGGTTGAGGAACAGTGATGTGGGACTGCATCTTCAAACCCCCAAATCTAAAATCCGGACGTTAACTGGATCCCAGGAGAGTAATTTCAATGATCTACTATGCCAAAAATGTTCTGGCAGCATAGTTTTTAGCTTTACCCTTTTATTCAAACATTGGAACATTTCACTGGCAAGGCTATCACAGAAGAGCCTGAGGCCAGTCCCTGTCCACATTAAAATGTCACTAGGAACTGTGTGTTAATGACTTAGCCCCCTTTTGGTGAAACAGATTCAAATTTTTCCAAGTGATTTGCCTGTAGAGTAAATCCCTATTTACAAAACACTTCCAAAGGTTCTGAAGCATGTTTCATTTCACAATGCCACTACGACTTTTTGTTTTTTTTTCAGTATCTTTCAAGAAAAAAAACCATTTTTAGAAACCAGTTAGTGAAAGCAAGTGGGCACGGAGAATCAGAGCGTCCTGGAGGGAGCGTGGAGTGGACAGCTCTGGCACCAAGCCAGTCTTTCAGCACTAGGGATCAAATTTGTTCTTCAACAAAATGACAGATCACTATGCCAAATCACATACAAATTACAGGTTGCTCACAAATCTCAGAATGTTGTCAGGGAATGCTAAAGAAGTTCTGTAGAATATTACTGCATATTTTTGTTCTAAAAGAGTATCTCAGAAATAAACTTTTCAGATATCTCAGATTAGTAAATAAGAAATAAGCCAACAATTATTCCATTAGCTTGAAACACTGCTTTAAAATTCTATGTATTATCACTTAAGCTCAGTTCATTAATTGCATGCAGACTTTATTCTAACCATGTTGTCTTGTGTTGTTGCTTCTGAGCCACACCCAGCAGTGCTCAGGCTTGTTTCTGGCTCTGCACTCGGGGATCATGCGTGGTGGGTCTTGGGGTTCCATACTGGGTGCTGGGGATCGAATCTGGTTTGACTGTGTGCAAGACAAATGCCTTATGCCCATACTAACCTTCTATTCCCCTGACCATATTGTGTTTTCATTAAAGAACTTTCAGAGTTATAAAACTGTATTTTAAACAAACTTAAGTTTATATGCAGATTTTCAAAGACAAATGCAGGTCAAGAGTTGGAGAGATGGTACAGTGGGTAGGGCACATGCTGTGCGTACAGCTGACCCTGGTTCAATCCCAATACTACAAATGGTTTCTGGAGGACCACCAGGAGTGATCCCTGAGCTCAGAGCCAGGAGTAAACCCTGAGCAACGCTGGATTTAAACTCCAACCCCACATCAACCAACATATTAATTAATTAAATTAAAAACCCCAAACCACACCCACCAAAAATTATAAAAGAAATAAATGTAAAAAGACACAAATGTAAGTAAAATTATTTCCAATTGATTCAGTTTTTAAATATCCATCAGAATTTGGGAATTTAAACACATTTCCAAGTCCCCAAGAGGACTAAACTGGATCCTATATTTAAGTAATAAGTTTCATAAATAGCCTTCTCCTTGAACCAAAGGTGTAGTTAGGGTGCTTTACAAACTGTTTTAAATTCACTGATGTGAATGGATGGCCTCTTTCACTAGTATCTCAGCTCTGGTATTGTCTGATTTTATAATTTTCCAGGGTCACAGAAGCCCAGGCCAGGCACTAAGCTGTTTACAGACAGTGTCTATAACCATCGCTTTCTAATCATGAGTTTGGAATCAGCGATGGGAAGATTTGGAGTCAGTGGTGGGAGGATTAGGCAAAAACTAAAAGAAGAATTTATTACTCTGCTCTATCTCCTGGCCTGTCTGGGTTTCTCTCTTAGAGGGTGGCTCCCACAGCAGGAGCTGAGGGGGTGTGGAGGAGGGGTGGGGAGGGGTGGGGGGAGCACTGTGAGTGACTGTGCTCAGAAAGACACCGGGGAGAGTTCTGAGGCCCAGAGAACCTTGGCTGAGGCACAGCCACCGGGACCAGTGCTCCACACTCCTTCCTCATTAATAACATGCCTCTGGCTTCAAATAAATGTCTGCAAATAAAGCTAGTGGTTGTACATGCATTTCCCAATTCACCTTATCATGAAATAACTCCCTGGGAGATAATCAATTACTGTTTACAATTTCATAAACTTGAAGGAAGTCTGCCCTACACCCATTTAAATTTACTAACACATTAACACTCTAGTACATAAACAGATGAAAGAAAAACATTAATGATCTCATTACTGGAAAGGTAACTTGATGGGTCACATAACTTTAAATTTTCTCCTGCCTTTACAAATAAATCATTTACCCCAAAGAGCTATTTGCCAAACATACCTTGAAAAGAGAAATGTAGAAAGAGAGAAAGACAGAAGAAAGAAAGAGAAAAAGACAAATTCTAAAGAGTATCTTCACTGTGTCTAGAAATCTGTATGAAGAAAGTTCACATCTATATTTCCCATTTCTAGGAATCAGCCTTCAGGATATAAAGATTCCTCTGATACATAATTAACTTTTACAGTTTACAACTAAGTATTTTATGCTTACTTAAATGGCAAAGCAGGATGGAAAACTCAGGTAAGCAAATACTTTTTTCAGCATGACTAGTAATATGGAAAATGTATTATATTTTCAACTTTATATCTGACTCACTAGGGGGTAACCCATTGTTATTCCATCACTGAAATGAGCCACTGCCCCACTAGCCACTGTCTAAAAATACTTAAACTTTATGAGAATACTGCCCTTTCATATGTTGCCTAAGAACTTTAGGGGGAGGGACAGTGCCTGTTATCAGAGAGCAAGAGTCATACGTGTGGGCTGGCCGCTGGGGATGCTCTTCCCTCATTTGGCAAAAGTCTTCATAAGTTCAGCAAAGCAAGTCTGCTCAGAACGGCAAGAGTTTGGGAGAACAATTTAACTTCCCAAGTAAATAAATGTTGGGTGGGAAAACCTAATCCTTACCACATACAGTCTCTAATGTACAATCTCTGAATTCCTGTGACCATGTCAAATAGTCATGACAAAGAACCCGTGGGGAAAAGGGCAAGATGGAAAGTTTTAGATACCATTTGGAAGCATGACAAAGGTTTTCCATGGAATCTGTGGTCAGTGGTCAGTGATATTGGACAGTGAAACCATACTAATTCTAATTGCAAACACCTAAAACAAAACTCTGTCAAGTGGTCTACAGTCACAGGCTTACTTCCAGTTTCCTGTGTCACAGAACCTGTGAAAGCAAGTCAGACCTAATAATCACATAATGTTTTCAGAATGATACAGTCTTGTCAAGGGGAGAATGCAGGGCACTTAGAAGTCCAGCTACACAAAACATAATCTTGCGGTCAAGTTTAGCTTCTCTATGAGAGCTCCGGCAAACTGAATGACTTAGTTTGCCTGGGATCAACCGTGCAGCAGAAAGTATCTAAAACTTTCCATGGTGAGACCATGAGAAACGAATCCCCCAGAATCAGTGAGTTATGCACAAATAAAGCTGGGGTATTAAAGGGGTCTAGAAGAGACGTGCATAAACAGAGACTGTTAAATACTGCAGGTCAGGCCAGTTATATTCTCAGATCCACTAATGGGCAGTTTGGCACTTAATACTACAGACAAAAATGCGGGCAGGGTCACCATCTACCTGAATAGACTGTCAGTGTTACAAAAAATGAGATCCATATTAGTTACCTTGAAAATGTTTCCCCTGGGCACAAGAATGTATGACAAGCTATCTTTTGGCTTTAATTAAGAGTAATAAATACATATGAAACGCTTTATTCAAACGCAGGTGGTGTAGCTAGGGGCGCACACACTTTCCAAGTAAGTAAGATGGCTTTGGGGGAATTTTCTGGGTTCCCTCTCCAATATTCGGTCTGTATCTTACAGATTCCTGGAACACAGATATAGTCCTTTAAATGCTGTCATGAACTCACAGGATTCTAAAATGCTGTCTTGTGAGTTATGAATTCAGCTCCTTCCCTCATGCCCAGCGAAGGTGATTGTGACACAGGGAGACTCAGACACAATCCTGAAAAGCATGAGTTTCCCACCAGCAAAGGTTGTTCTTAAAGTCTCAGTGTTCCTAAGTCTCCAGGAGATAAAAGTTACACCCCCCCCGCCCCCTGGCTTCTTTTTAAAATCAAATGGTTTCTCATGAGATGTTGGAAAGCAAATCAATTTTCTGGAGAGGCAGTTTTCTTCATTTAATTCTTCTGCTCCCTCTTTCAAACCAACTTAAACAACAAAAAACTTTTATGTTCACGTTAATTGGGGATGACTGTCCGCAGACTGAAGGAGAAACACTCCGAGGGCGGATACTGGCGGATGACCGTCTCGGGGACGAGGACCCCCGCCCTAAGGCTCAGACGCACGCTCTGCTCCCCAGCCGGGCTCCTGCACCGTCCTCGCTCTCTGCAGAGCTCACCCGCGTGTGCCCAGGGCGCAACACCAAAGCTCAGAGCTGGAAGAGGCGCACGCAGAGAGCATGGGCACAGCGGTCGTGTGCGCGCGCCTGCAGGGGAAGGCAGCCTCGCCCGGTCCGGCGGGGCTCGCCCGCACCCGCTGCGCCTCTTCCCCCGCATCCTCGACGGCACGCGCGGAACTTTCTCCCCTAGGGTGTCCGGGCCAGGCTGCAGCACCGCCAACTCCGCAGCCCACGGTCGCCCCCTGCGCCTTTATCTGCCCCGCGCCCGCACTCACCGCGCCCGCCGCTCCGGGGCCCGCTGCGCCGCTCACAGTCGGGTCGGCGCCGGAACGGCGCGCGCGGCTCGAGGCTGGCGGGGGCGCGGGGACCCGGAGCCTCCCGCCCGCCCCGCCGCGCCCGCTTCGCCCCTCCCCGCAGGCCCCGCCCCGCCCCGCCGCGCCCGCCTCGCCGCGCCCCGCCCCGCCCCGCCCCGCAGGCCCCGCCCCGTCCGCCAGGCCCCGCCCTCGCCCGTCAGGCTCCGCCCGCCCCCCCCCCCCCCAGGTCACGGGCCCGCCCGCCAGTCGTTGCCCCAGCCCTCTCCGCCCGCCCCCCCGGCCCCGTCCCGCACAGCCTCGCCCAGGCCCCGCCCCGCACAGCTCCTCGGGTCCCTCCCCCGCCCGCCAGGCCCCGCCCCGCCTCGCCCAAAGCCACGCCTCCTATCCGCCTCGTCCCGCAGGTCACGCCCCCACCCCAGGCCCCGCCCTGTCCCGGACCGCGCGTGCTCCGCGCGCTCGGGGACCTGCAGGGGCTTCTCGGCGCTTGAGGCCCACCGCGCCCGCCCCCCTTGTGGCCGGCCTCCCCAGGCCCCTGCCCTACGGCCAGGGCGGAACGCGAGCGGAGGGCCGGCTGCCCTGGGCTGCCTGCCCCCTCCCCCAGCCCGCTCAGCTGCTCTGCTTGGACCCCGGTCGCTGTGCTCCCGAGGGGTGCGGGAGGGGAGCGCCCTTTTTAATACGAGTGCCCATACCCTCCACCACTCTACGGGGACATTTTTCTTGGAAATCCCCATAATTGACTTAAATTATGTTTTCTTAAAGTGTGTTGTATGTAGACATAAGACCATTATAAGTTACAGCTTCTGAAGAAACTCTGGGGAAAACCCAAATTTGTCAGTGCTACATAGACGGTCCCCTCCCAGCACAGTAAGATTTGAGTGGGTGCTAGTTGCCTGCTGCCTGCGGGGTTCCAACAGGGGGATGGGGCTGCGTGACATCATATATTATTCATAACCAGCAATAGAAAATAAATTGTCTGCTGTTGCTTTTTTGGCAGATCTGAGTGTTGGGGTAAAATCCCAAATAATAATGATGGGTCTGGGGTTGAAATATTGAATTTAATCAAAGTAGAGAGAGAGTAATGTGGAAATCATCTGCCTCACGGGTAGGAGGAGGGTGTGGGATGGAGCATATACTGGGGTTTTTGGTGGTGGAAAATGGGCATTGGTGAAGGGATAGGTGTTTCATCATTGTATGACTGAGACTTAAACCCGAAAGCTTCGTAACTGTTCTCATGGTGATTCAATAAATAAACTTATAAAAAGAAAAAATGGTAATTCTGATGATTCAGAATGTGTTCAGAGTCACTTTTTAATTATAATTATTAAAAAAGTGAAATGACCTATCAGTATCTGTAGTTCCTAGTTGGGTTAAACACCTTTAAAAGTCAGTCATCCTACTTGAGTTTTTTGCTTGTTTCAGTTTGGTTTGGTTTTGGATTAGGCTCTGGACTTACTCCTAGCTCTGTCCTCAGGGGTCACTTCTGCTGGTGCTCAGGGACGGTCTGATGCCCAGGATGGAAAGAGAATCAGCTTCATGTGAAACAAACATCTTGTCCTTAGTACCATCTCTCTGGTCCCCAGTTATCCTACATAATAGAGCAGCCAGGGATAGTATTAGTAAAGGAAGAAGTCAGCTTCCTCAGTCATGCTGGGGTATTATTCGCTTTCCTCCAACCAACGCTTATTGAGTACTTATGGCATACTAGACCAAGTAAGAGTACCAAATGTTGGGGGTATGGTGCCACTAGCAGGTCAATCTGTACCTGTGAGGCGAGCAGCCTGATGGCACTGTCAGGCTTTCAGATACCTCAAAATTGCAGCTGTGCCTTTGGCCAGACCCCAAAAACTTGGGGCAAAGTTTACCAAGAAAGTAAATGGCCAAAAGTTAGGTATGTGGGAGACACACCCACAAAACCACCTCCGGCTCAGCTATATAAGTGGAGGCATGGCCTCTCTGGTTCCTGATCAAACTGCTTAACAGCGATGATCCCAGAGGCTCAGAAACAAATCTCGGTACCCAAAAGCTTTTGGCAGAAATGCGTCTTGTTCCTGCAGTAGGTTACAGGGGCTGGGCCACTCCAGGTGGGAATAGGTTTTGTGCCTTAGCCTGTTCCCCCTGGCGGCCTGGTGACTGCCATCCTCCAGAGGGCACTGGACAGTCAGGTTTGGGCCTGCAGTGACGAGACATGAGGGGCCTCACCAGATTGGGGTGGAACTGGCTCTTTCCTCCCCATCCCAACGAGACCTCGAGTCACCGCCTACAAACGGCCTCTCTGGCTCCTGATCAAGCTGATTAATGACCATGATCCTAGAGACTCAGAAACAAATCTTGAAACCCAGTGGCTTTTGGCAGAAATGCATCTGGACTGCATACACAGCCATGGCTCCAGAGGCAAAAGGACTTAATATAGAGCCTGACAGCTTGCGGCAGAAAAATGAATGGACCATGCGTTAAACTACAGTGCCACGCCTCCCCGGGAGGGAAAGGGTATTGCTCCCTTCCCTTCCGCCTTCCCCCTCTCCCACCTCCCCCCCTGCCGCAAGGTGGCCGCCGCCTCAGAGCTTATTGGAAAGCCAGGTATGAGCCGGTGGTGACTGGGCAACTGCAATCTCATGGGAAGGGGGCGGTACCGACTTGTCCTTCACGCCCTACCGAGGTCACAAGTTGCCCCCTATGAGTGGCTCTCTGGCACGAAGATGGCTCCAGAGGCAAAAGGACTTAATCCAGAGCCCGGCAGCTTGTGGCAGAAATGTGAATGGACCATGCATTAAACTATGGCTCCATGCCTCCCTGGGAGGGAAAGGGTGTTGGTCCCTTCTGCCTCCCCCCCTCCCCCCCCAGCAGCAAGGTGGTCGCTGCCTCAGAGCTTATAGGAAAGCCAGGTATGAGCCAGCGGTGATGGGGCAACTGCAGTCTCATGGGAAGGGGAGTGGTACCAGCTCGTCCTTCACGCCCAATGGAGTTCTGGAGTTATCCCCCATGAGCTGCTCTCTGGCACAGCCATGACACCAGACGCACAGAAACCAGTCTCGTAATTATCTGGCTCTTTGCAGAAATCCAAAATTGCATGGCAGCAATAGCAGCCGCACAACATTATATGATTCTTATAACCAGCTATAGAAAACAAAGTATTTCACAATGCCTTTTCAGCAATTCTGATTGTGGGGAGGGGAATTCTAAACAATAATGGTGCATCTTTTGTCAAAATGATGAATGTAATCAATGTAGAGAAGAGTTAAGTAGAAATCATCTGCCTCACAGGCATTGGGTGGGGTGGAAGCGGGGGTATATTGGGGTTCTTGGTGATGAAAAGTGAGGACTGGTGAAGGGAAAGGTGTTCGATCATTGTATGACTGAGACTTAAACCTGAAAGCTTAGTTTTTCCCACAGTGATTCAATAAATAAATATAAGACGAAAAATAAATAAAACTGTGAAAAAAAAGAGTACCAAGTGAGAATGGTGGCCATAGGAAACTGACCACTATCAAAAGAGTGTGCCAATGTGCTTGCTTATGAAAGTTTCACACAAGCTCTGCCTCTTGCTTGAATTGTAGCTTTTACTTTAACCTTTCTGCCCTTCAATTTCCTGTCCGAAAATGGTTGCTGTGTCCTCAACCATTGGAAGAACTGGATGCTTCCTGACTCATATAATGTTCAGCCCTCACACAGGCAAATCCTCAGTAAATATTAGCTCTTGTATCTGGTAGGCCCAAAGAACAAGACGTCTCGGCCCTGTGGACCAGCTCTTCCTTAGTACCACCTTCACCTACATCCACATTCTTGGCTCATTTGTCCTGGCAATTTGAAAAATTGTGTTGTAAACAATTGGGGGAGACAGATTCCTGGAGAACAAGATAATTATCAGAGAGAAATTGGCACAGAAGGACCCAAGAAAAGTGAGAGAATTAGGTGGGACGGGGGGGGGGGTCTCCCCCTCCCTCTCTGCATTCTTTCTATTCTGGGTTATTTAAACACAATTACAACCATCATATTAGTGGGAGGAAAAGACCAGATTGAATAACTGCACATGAACAACATACTGGACTGTACATTCTAAAGCAGATGAAACAAGCTGGGTGTTTATAAACCATGCAAAGGAATGGGATGGGGTGGAGGGGGGGCGTCCAGGAAAGAGTCGGGGGATTTACATGACAACAGGGAAAACAACTTCATGTGACATCTTCTTTCTATATGTGTATCATTCTTTAGATAATTTTCTCTGATTACAAGGGTATTTCTCAGCAGATGTCCCTAGATGGGGTAGTTTCAATCTCTAAGAGATCTACTGGGCCTTGGTTGACCTTAGTTCCTTCCACTTCCAAGACACCTGCTCTGGACATGTGAGGGAATTCTCACTGAACATTTGGGACAAGGCCAAACCTCCATGAGCCCCTGCTCTCTGACCTCTGCTACTGTCAGTCTCTGCCTCTTGACCAAAAACAGCTCTCAGTCCTGAAGAGCTCAGGGCTTGAACAAGCGCCTCTGACTCTCCTTCTGGAGCTGTCAGCCGTGAAATGAGGGCACACTGCTGGCTTGTGGTTGTCAGTGTGTTTGCATGAGGAAGACCACAGACCTGAGTGATTTTTTGACCTTCAAGAAATATGCCTGTGTAAATAGGTGTCTTCCTGCTGACTTTTCCTTTTATTTTTTTCTTTGTCCCATTTTCCTACCACTCCCCCAAAGCCCAAATAACCTCAAACCCTCACTTGTTTAATAACTTTTCAACTCCATAGAAGCAACTCTCAAACACTTCTCATGTGTGCATAACAATGATTTGTTAAAAATTGCTTTCGGAGTGGTGAGCAGAGATGAGCTCATACAAAGGTTAAGGCACTTGCCTTGCCTAACATACAGCTGCAACGCTGGTTCAAATTCCCTCACTGCCAGGCAATGGAAATTTTGAGCACTGAGCCAGGAGTATCCTCTAGGCACTGCTTGGTGAGATCCCCCAAATTCATTCAGGGAAAGATACACTTGTTTATTCTCTACTTTGTACAGTGTTACTCTTGGAGGTCATATGAGGTGGAAGTCGCAAATAACCTCCATGCCCAG